CTGAACCTGATCCAGTGACCCGACCAATTACCGTCGGGCTTGTCACAGCTTTTTCTGGCACTCAGTCAGCATCTGTTTGCCTTGACGCTACTTTGCGCCTTTTGTTTTGCCACAGACATTGAGTCTCTGTTGGATTGCGGCAATTTGTAAGCAATTTACCATTTGCCACCTGCTAATTAACCAGCTTTAATTTCAATGCTTGCAAAAGTTTCAATGAGCTGCAGTCGAGTGGGTAGGGAAGTCATATAACCTATACGCCGCATTTGTCTCTGACCCACTGACTCGCTGACAGAGTTCCATGTTAACCCGTAGCCGGTGCAACGAAGGACTAGCCTAACACTAGCCAGACACTAAGAGCGAACGAGCAAAAGAGCGCAAGAGCGAACGAAGCACTAACAGACATAGAGAGAGAGAGAGAGCGGCTGTGAGCGACGGCTGGCAACATGTTGCTGCTGAAGACATTGGCAACATGTTGCGGGCTGCTTTCAGTTATTCGTTAGAAAATTAAAATAATGAACAGCAGCATGAATAAATGACTATACATAAATAAATATATATACACATATATTTATATTTATATTTATATTTAAAAATATATATTTAAGTTGATATAGATTTGTATATAAATAGAGTGCAGAAGTACATCTGAGCTCTTGCTGGAATATGCAAATGAATAGAATAGAATGTAGTTCAAATTGAATGTGAGTACGACAGTTATAGGCAAAAAAGTACTTGTACGGGCCATGGTCACAGCCGCATTCACAGTTGCTGCTATATGCTGTCACATGTATAATTTGCCCGCTGCTGTCGCTGCTACAGCTACTGCTTCTACTTCGTCCTTTTTTTTTGAAGTTTTACATTTTTTTTCACAGCTCATCAAGCAAAACATTTTCCATTTTGATGGTCTGCCGTCTGTCATACGCACATAGACCCAAAATAAACATAATCTGAGCAGAGTGTATGCGCGTATGTCTGTGTGTGTGTGTGTACATGGAAATTGTCCTAGTTGAGGCCCCAAACGCTAAAAGCGTCTGCCAACGTCAACAACAACAACTAACAACATGGCACATTATTTAATCAAGCGTAGAAATTGAATAGGCCCTTAAAAACTTGGCCCCAGGCACTTAACCCCGCTGTGAGAATAGAAATTGACGACATCGCCAAAGGACAAGACGACGACACGTAAAACTTTGGCCTCAAACAGACTGTGGAGCCCCGGCTAAGGGCCACGTTGACGGCGGCATTGGCTTCTGTCTAAAGAAAAAATGAGCCGATAAGAGAATTTCATGCAAAATTGGTAAGCCAACAACCTGATTACTTAATTGGCGCTAAAGGGAGTGGGGAGTGGGAGTGGCTGGAGTGAAATTTTGCCAGATACTGCATTAACAGCTCGTTTGTGGGCCCGCAAAAGCGTCAGCTGTTAATGGGCCAGAAATTGTTGTCAGAGTTACGCCCAAAAGAGTTTCAGAATCATCTCGTCCGAGTTTTTCCGCGCTTTAAGACAAAATCACGTGGTATACGCTCTCATATATATTTATTTTTCTCATACATATTTGCAGCAAAAGTGCAGGTAAATCCGGAACAAAAAACTTGCTGAATCAGTCACAACCTGCAGATTTCAAAGGCTGAGCCTGCTACCAAATGAATTATATAAAAACGACTTTTAACATGACTTTCCATTTGCGAAGCAAGTGACGAGGGCTCAAATGAATATGTTCAATATGGTATGATATATAAACAAAGAAGCCAACAGACTTTCAGCTGAAATATTTATATGAAATTTATTTTGAAAATTAAATTTAAGTCAAGTAAAACAATATATCCCACAAAAATTTCTTTATTAATGCAATTTTTTTCAGGCTAATTAATTTGTAGCTCCTTTAAAATTTCTGTTAATTTCCGTAGCGCTTTATCACCTAGCAGTGCTACTCTTGGGGTTTACTGGCCTTAAACAGTTGTTCAAAGGTTAATCAGTGAAACAAACAAAATCCAATTTATGGCTGAGCAAATAAAATATGTATATGCCTTTCATGATGTATATGTATATGGCACGCGGTTTCAGTTGTAAGACATTCGACACTTTTCCAGGAATTTTTCAATTTCCATTTGATATTGCACGAAATGACGACGCAATGAACAGAAAAAACAACAAAAATATGATTATAAATTGGATGTCAGCAAATTAAATTTATGAGAGTCTGCCATTTCCTTAGAAATATATATTCAAACATAAAAAGCATACTACAGCAGTACTTACAGGTCAAAGGGCAAATGGATATATGTTAAAAATAGCATACAATATTTGCAGTATCAATGGCATTGAAGTTGCCAAACAATACCTCAGCTGCGTCTTGATTGACTGACTTTATTTCCATCTTTTTATTTATTTTCTGAATAAGTGAAAGTTTGTTAGGTGTGCGTGAAAAAGGTTGATCCCAAATATAAAAAAAGCTGCAAACTTAGTTTTAATTCTGACGCGTTATACATAAGTATTTTGGAGCTGGGCTTTGCTTGGAGCCCCATGTCAAAAAAGCTGAACATTGGCAGCCAGCAGCAATGCGTTTCCCCTTAGGCAGGGACAGAGGTCACACTCAGCGAGCTAGCCCGGTGGCGTCGGCTGACCATTTCCCTGGCATCCGGTTTGGTCCCGTCTCAAAGAGAAGGCTCCATATATACATATATAAAACGACGAGTACTATTTGATTTCAACATTGATTTATGAGCGCATCCGCTACACGTACGCTACGATTGGTAGGTACGTAACTGCGGACGAGGCTGAGGGCATGGGCATCGCTATGCCTGCCTCTTGCTGGATTTGCTTTGCACTTAACTGGCCAACTGGGCTCGGTCTGTTACTAGCTCTGCTGACTGCTTCGTCTGGCAGCTGATTGCCCGAAAGTCAGTAAATTAAAGTTCACACTGCGTAGAAGCGGGCGTGTGTCTGTGTAGCTAGGCATACAATTTGTAATTTATGCGCTGGCAAAAACCGCAAAAGCAAAATAGATATTTATTAACATATAAATTATGCATGTGATTGGGGCAACAGGAGAAGCCTTGGTCCTGCAAACATCATTGTAAGTAAGATGATTAATTGACAGCTCCCCAGTTAGTTTAGTTCTTTTAAATTCGTATCGCATCACATATCTTAACTAATTTGCGATATATGTGCGATATATATATATATATATATATATATATATATATATATATTTTTTTTTTTTTTTTTAAAACTCCCGCCAGCTATCAACACGTTAGCCGCCCAATATCAAAGCGAGCACATAGTTTTCGCTTGTCACATAAATCGGATCAATAAATGATGATATTATGCTACCGCAGGGACACATTGAGCTGCAAAACACACTCAGACCAGATATCAGGCGAGAGGCGACGCCACCAAGTTGTAGGTGGTAACACATTAAGATAAAGTGACAACGCCTTCTCTCTGCCAGGGCGTTGCGCCCGAATGCCAAAAGGGGTAGCGCTGTATGAAGGACACGCTGAAATCAGACAGCAAAAATCTAGAGGGGCGAATGCTGGGCACACAAATGAATTGTCTGAATGTGTGTGAACTGATGTGCGTGGTGTGCTTGGGATGCTTGGCGGGCGGACGCAAGGCTTTTATTTTCGTATGGCATTTTATGCGCATCACGCATACGCACTGTTACACACAAACACACAGTCATAGATAGAAGTGTGTACACAGGCGACATGCATGCAAGCAAACAAGCTTCTAGCTTTTGCTACAAAAGCAGCCACTAGACTGGAGCCGGGCAGGGCGGTGCAAGACGGTGCAGAGGGATGCCCAGCTATAATGACATTTAGCTTTGAAACAATGTAAACAGCGGCCAAGCAGCAACGACAACGTCGAAGTTCAAAGTTGGCATGCTGTAGGCCGCCAAAAGTTTACGCTAAGTATGTATATGCACATTCCACACATACGCACACGCACACGCACACAGATACCCACACATATATCACTTTATACATATACAAAGCACTGCGTCAAGCTGTATGCTTAGGAATATTGTATGAACTGTAAATGCTTCGCTCTCATCGCTGTTACATAGACTTTCCGACCGCAAATAGTGACGCAGCCCCAGAAGCAGTCCCTACCCTCAACCGTCAACCCTACCTACTTGGTGGCAGTTTAACTGGCAAAGCAACTACGAAGCCATAAATTCATAAAGTAAAGGTAACCCAACGTGAGCTAAAGGACCAGTTAAGTTTAGCCAGTGAGCGAAGCCAGCGGGAGGTTGACATTAATAGCGACTGATATGGAGACAAGAAGAACACGCACACCCACCCATATATGTACACACAGCCACAGCCAGAAGCACGAACGCACTCTTGTAGACACATCAGTTACAGGAATCATTGTTTGTGCTAGGGCACCAAAGCGTTTAGTAAATGGGCCACTGTTAATAGCGGCTTTATGCGGCATGTCTAACAAAATACAAGTGTAATTTTATCTACCAGCTATAAAAATATATATATGCTATTAAAAAATCTGGCATTAAGGTAAATAAATTAGCATTTAGATTGTTTTTAGCTGGGCCTAAGGCAATAAAACATGTAAGCCTTTAATAATGTTTTAATTGGCTACCCTACAAATGGGCAGGACTGCATGCAAGCTGGCTCTTTAGACGAGCTCACAATGCTTGCGTGTCGAACGAAAGAATTGCTGTGGCTGCAATATATGCCAAGTTCAAGCTAGTTTACTGTTTATGTAATGTCTGATTTACCCCTCCAGGTATGCAATGAAATCTTTAGAAATGGGCACTGCTTGCTTAATTGCTCTGCTTACAAGCAAGTAGTTAAAATTATTGTGGCGCATAAAAGTAGGCAATGAAATTTTTATAGACAATTTTAGGTGTCCATCACGGGCATAAAATGCATTTATATCAAAGCACGTAAAATTATTTAATGCGCAATGATTTATTGGCGCAACGTATATCATTATTATTGGGCTCGTAATGACATCCAATTTTGACGAGCAATACACTTTTTGTTTTTTTTTTGTGTGAAAGTAAGCGAAGACTGACTACAGAAATGATCCTGTGAAGTATAGTCGAAAATAACAATAAGGATTTCTGATTCACATATTTACTTTCAGCTCTAACTACATTTTCTTAGTATAATTTCTTATCAAAATGTTGTCAAAGCTTTACAAATATCTGTTTATTTTTAATTCATGCACATCCTTTATCCTTCTGTAAGTATCCATCACTGAAAAGAGAAATCATTTGCCGGAACACATTTGTTGTGGTCAGATATGAAGAGGACTGCGTTTATTGTAAGTGAAATTGATGAATTGATAGCTGGGCTCTGGGAGCTATTTTATATGCATGCTCCATTGTTGTGTGCTGGCGAGTGTGGGTCGTATTCAAATGACAAAGGAGATACTCTCGTGTGCCCATATAACATTGTGAGAACATTTACAAGCTTGATTGTAAATATTTCAATTTATTTTATGTTGTGTTTATATAACTTTTATGTGCAACTCTCATGCTCTCATGTTCAGAGTCTCTCTTGTTTAGTCTCTTCTGCGGCGCTGCACTTAGCGACTGTGAAGAGTAGGGCATAAAAAATGGGAGCCCATAATCATATGCCAATAAAAGTCGGTTAGCATGCCGCACGCTTATTGGGCGTGGCATTGACAGTGTGTGTTTGTGTGTGTGGGGATTAAATGGTGCTCCGTTTTTGGGATAGCATTCGGGCCACGTTATCATTATGCGCTACATCACATACGCATGTGGCTCGCTGCTCGCAGACTAGCAGACTGGCAGACGCTCAGCTCGGAATGGTCAGCCAACTGCTGGGCTCAATGCGAATCTGAATGGGAATGCGAATGCGAATGCGAATGCGGCTGTTGTGCGACCACCTATGGTGCGGCTGCTGTATAATACATTCAATTCATGGCTAGAACAAATGATGTGGAAATGTAAAATAGATGTGGGGCTTACGACTCTGCGCCTGTCCATTCGTCCGCTCGTCCATCCGTCCATACAAATAGAACAGAAGCGCGGCATGTGTGCAATGTCCGGATGAGGCTGAATTCTGAGACTCTGCCTTAGGCATGTGGTGGCATGCATGAAGTTCAGACCGGGCGAACGGTAAAGCAACTCTCGTGTGTGTGTGTGTGTGTGTGCGTGTGTGTGGAAGCGACAAAGTGAAGCATCATAATGTGGGAATAATGGCCAACATATGCACACTTCAAATTAAAGTGAGCAGCCATCCCACACACGTAGTTGTCATTCCTTGGGTTTCTGACTGACTCTATGTCTGTCTGCGTGTCTGACTGGGTGCCTGTCACGTCGTTGTCGTTGATTGTCTTTCGGTTCGGGTTTCATTAGCTGCAACGGGCAGCGTTTAATTTTTATGTGCATGTGCCTAAATGCAATTGGCCCAAAAACCAATTGACTTGGCTCAGAGCACAACTTTTATGGCTTCGAAACCATAACGAGCGTTAATTAAACAGTACAAGGAAAAACAACATTCAGCTACTGCAAGTACATAGAAATCCAAAGCCAGGAAACGGCAACAACAACTACGAAAACGGATACGGCGTCATGGCCAAAAGCCAATACCGTTTTCTAATTGGCCTTTATTGTTAAATGGATAATGGCCAGCAGAGACGCATCGATACAAGGCATAAAATAGAAAAGAGAAACATGACAAAAGGTTTTCACATCCGCTGTCTCTCTTACCAGTTCGTAAGGCCTGCCGCCGGCAATTATTGGACCTGCCTCGACACTCAGTCCTAATGACAAAAGTCATTTTCAATCAAGAAGACACAAGAAAAATTCTTATTCTTATAGAATCACTTATCAAATTGAATGACAAATAAAAGCTTTGTTTGTATTTCTTCATATTCCTCTGATGACGTGCACAAAACTCTGAAAGATCTGAATTATTACAACAAAAGCAAATGCTGCATTATTTATGCGCTTTTCGGTATTGATTTGTGCGTGAAGAGCCTTTGCAAGTGACCAAACAGACATTTCAATGGAAACTCAATTAATGGTAATTGAGATATCTAAGGGTCACTCGTCCATAAATAGTTTATTGCAGTCTTGGCCGCATTTTATAGCTATGGCCAGTATTTACGATATTTTCAACAAAAAAAAATAAACTAAAAAGAATAGGAAAATTATTTTTGCCACAAATTGAAAATTTACTCATTTTGCAATTTTACGCAACATGCAAATAGCTTATGAATTGCTTCAGATTTTGCTGCTTGAATTGAAAATTGGCCATTTTAGAGGCAATTGCAAAATATACAAATGTGCAGTTATTTGAAGTCTTAAAGGATTAAATTACAGAAAACATATTTGATTAGAGGACGGCAAGGTGCGTTTTCAATAAAGGATTCCATTTAGAAAATAACAAAAAGTGTGTGTTGTGGTAAATCCACTGCAGGGCTTGTATTTTCAAGCACCTGCCTCGATGGCATTCAATTTAATTAAGAAATTTCACATTCAGTCCACAAATACAGAAATATAATAAGACATTTATGTGACATTCGAGTTGGCTGACATCAGGTCATGACAGTTAGAAAACTCTCTATTAAAATGTGAAGCGATTATTTCCATTGATTGACTAAATGCTCCATTTAGCTGGCAAAGGTAGTGCAGTATTCGCTATGCGTATACGCAATGTTGTGTGCTGTTAAATCAGGCATTGTTGCTGTACTTGTTTTATGTTTGCTTTTGTTGTGGTTGGAAGTTGATGGAAATTTGCTGCAATTACTGTACTCAATATGTACATATTTATGGGAGTGCGCAGCTGCGCGTTAAATGCTGTCAATGTCAGCCAATGGGCATATTACGCATACGCAGCGTGTGACAGTAAAAGCTTTAAGGCGAAAGGCGAAAGGCGTCTGCCATTAAGTGCCATGCCTGTGTCCTGGCTGCTGCTGCTCCTGGTAGCTGCTCCTGGCTGCTCCCGATCCCCCATGCCTTTAATGAGTGATAACAAATGGCAACATTCACGTGCCCCATAATCTTATTATGTATGTATCAATATTAGCAAATGTCTTACGGCCGCATTGTGATGGCCCCACTGCGAGGGCAGGAGGGTCACATGCTATTAATTGTGCTTAGTTTAGTGGGGTGTACTTAGTTGCTGGCATTTTTGTTAATCGCATGATGTACAAGCGAGCGCACAAACGCATTCCAGCGGAGTCTGTGCCGCCCGATAAGAACACATTGCTGGCTACACACAATATATATGTGTATATGTGTTAGTTATATATTTAATATATATGCCTGTGTCTTTGGTTTCCTCATATTTGCACCATCATTGTGATGGCTTTTATATGAGAAACTAAGGGACTGTATTTGAGGTTTCGGACAGGTTGCTTTGCTCACACTTGACCGCATTCAACTGACCTTTAAACTTGTTTTCAATTAAAATTGCAGATACAGCTCCTTGCCCGTGTGTGGGTGGCGTAGGTAGCGGAGGTGTGTGGAGGCCTGTATTTGTGTCTGGTTGAACCTTTTAGCATTTACTTAGCATTTAGTTTTATACCTAACTACCTACATTTATATATAAAACTATAAAACATGAAAGCAAGTTTCATAAATCACAGCTCAAAGCCGAGCAAAAGTGAAAAATCGTAGACCCCCATTTTAATTAAAAGCGTGCAAAACACGATACTCTACAAACACACCAGAACACACATACAAATACATACATATATATGTATAGTAACAATCTGGCCAACTCGTATACAATGTTTTTTGGGGCCAAAGCCTTGGAAAAGCCTTTTCCTGAATAATGATTGAAAAACAAGCAATGAACGAGTTGTGCCCGCTTAGACTGGTTGGGTCTTGGGCTGTGTGGGTCTGACTGCCGTCCTTTGTGCTCCTTCACATTTTTGCTATACCACTTCACACTCCCCCGCTCAGAGGGTGTCAAGCAAGCAGCAACGAATTGTACAAACTCAAGAATGAAGTTTGCTTAAAATAATTTGCACGCTGTCCAGGCTTATGCCTTCAGATTGCCACGCCCACTCCTTGCTCGCCACTGAATCGGGAGGCTAGGCTAGGCTTTGCTTGCTTATTTACAAAGCCCATTTGTTTCTGGGTACGTGCATTCTCCAAGAGCGTGTAGGCGACAAAAGTCTTTAATTTTGCCTAATAACAGCAGCGCTGGCAAACTTTGCGAAAAGCCGCCAAAACGAGGGCGTTAACAAGCGCCAGAAACACACGCACACACACACGCAGATAAATACTAAGCACAACTTACTGTTTACTTCGCAACTACAGCAGTGATACCCTGTAATAGTCTAGACAGCAAACAGTTATTTCATTTGACTACATTAAAGATATGGAACATTTATATATTGTAACTGCAACTGAATACATCTTAAAGAAATTCTTTGTCGTTCAGCTTCAAACTGGATGTGTGTGCTTCATACAAAGCTCAAGGGACATGCAGCGTGTCTTATTCAAAGATTCAGCTATCAAGAATGCTTTTAGGGTATTCAAGTAGTTCAAATATTTCTGCTCAAGTACGTGAGCATAAGTACGTATAGAATTAAAGAGGTACAGAGTCGCAGTGAAGAGGTATAGAGGTACAGTCGTCATAGTCATGCCATAATAGCGTTTTGATACCCGCACATAAACAACAATGGCAACAACAACAATAATAATAAGAACGACGAGAGCAACGACAATGAGCGCAACGTTTCGACAATAAAATGCAAAGAGGCAACGAACAGAAGATACCAGCAGCGACCTTGCCCACCGCCTAGCTCCCCTTTGGCAGGCTTCATCTATCCCGCTAACCTACAGAGCTGCTAGTAGCGTCTAGCCGCCCACAGTCGATTCCACCCCTGCCTCATCCACACCGTTAACCCGCCTCCAAGGTGAACTTAACCTGATGCTGTCTGCTTTGTAGCTGCGGCTTTGCCAGTGTCTATGTGTTGTGGCTGTCTATCTCTCTCTGTGTTTGTGTGTGTCTGTGAGTATGTGGCTCTTTGGGCGGGTTAATCGCAAATGGGTAACCGTGTAGGCAATGGATTACGTAAACTCAGAAGCTAACGTACTTATTATGCTGGCAAGCACAA